GACTCTTTCTTCAGGAAAGACTCTCACATTGAATGATGTGAAACACGTTCCCTCAATTGCCAAAAACTTAGTCTCTGGAAGCATGTTGTGTGATGCAAGCATGAGGCTGGATTTCTAAGGAGGAAAGGCTATATTATTCTTTAAGAAAATGTATTTTGGCAATGCATATCGTACTGATGGCATGTATAAAATCAGTATGAGTGCACATAACCCCGTTATAAATGAAATATCCTCTTTTGCTTACTCCTGTGTTATGGCTGGGACATGTAAATTATAGAAAATTATCCAGCATGAAAAAGTTAGGATTACTTCCAAAATATGGTGGTAACAAACCTGAGAAATGTGAAGTTTGCGCGCAAACAAAGCTGACGAGGAAGCCATTTTCAAGTGTCACGAGGAGCACCAACATGTTAGATCTAATTCATTCAAATACTTGTGACTTCAAGAGCTTCGTCACTCGTGGCGGCAAGAAGTACTTCATCACTTCATCGACGATCATTCTCGCTTCTGTCGTGTTTACCTGCTAAAATCTAAAGATGAAGCTTTCAGCAAATTTGTCGAGTTTCGAACTCGAGTGGAGAAGCAGCTTGGACTTCAGATGAAAAGACTCAGGAGCGATAGAGGAGAAGAGTACCGATCTAAGAAATCGAAAGCATACTTCAAGGAGTATGAAATCATTGCTAAAACTATTGCTCCGTATTCTCCGCAATCTAATGGGATTGCAGAATGAAAGAATCGCACATTGTCCGAGATGGTGAATTCGATGCTAATCACATCTGATCTACCTACCTGCTATTGGGGAGAGACTTTGCTAATGGCAAACTGAATTCTGAACAGAATATCATATTCCAAAACTGATAATACTCTTCATCAGTTATGATTGGGATATCCAGATTCTTTAGATAGTCTCAAAGTGTGGGGGTGTCTTACATATATTCGAATTCCAGATATCAGAAGGCCTAAGCTCAAACCAAAGGCAAACAGATGTGTGTTTCTTGGCTTTACTGGAGATAGCAATACGTGCAGGTTTCTGGACCTTGGAACCAACTCCATCATTGAAGCTCGGGAGGCAGAATTCTTTGAGGATAAGTTTATCAAACATAAAGGCATATTGTTCAAAGATGTAGCAGAGAATGTTAATACATCAAATGCACAAGAGGAGCCAGTCAATGATAAAGGAGTTATCGAACCATCTTCCAAACACGTCAGAAGACAAAAAGATTTTAGAAATGTTTTCATCATTTATAATGTGGAAGGAGATCCACAGACTTTTCAAGAAGCAATGCAGTTAACAGACGGTCTTCTGTGAAAAGAAGCTATAGATAATGAAATGGATTCATTGATCCAAAATCACATTTGGGAGCTGGTGGATGTACCTGAAGGTGCAAGGCCTATCAATTGCAAGTAGATCTTCAAGAAGAAGCTTCGTTCTGATGGTACTATTGAAAAGTACAAAGCAAGACTAGTAGCGAAAGGATTCTCTCAGAAAGAAGATATAGATTTCTTTGATATCTATGCACCAGTTTGCAGGATCACTACCATCAAAGTGCTTACCGTATGGGCGACGATTAAAAGGTTTGTCATACATCAGATGGATATGAAGACTGCATTTCTCAATAGAGATCTTATAGAAGAAATCTACATGAAGAAACCAGAAGGACTTGATGCTCCACCTGGTAAGGTTTGTAAACTTGTTAAGTCATTATATGGACTTAAGCAGGCACCAAAACTCTAGCATGAAAAGTTCGATGGCATTGTTTGCAACAATGGGTATCAAGTAAGTGAATCTGACAAGTGCCTATATATCAAGGTCATTAAAAGAAATGTGGTGGTCATCTGTCTCTATGTGGATGATATGTTCATCATAGGGAGTGATTTTGAGATAGTAATATCTACCAAGAAATTTTTTTTAGTACAGTTCAGCATGAAGGACCTTGGAACTACGAACGTGATTCTCAGAATCAAAATCATAAAGAGGGTATTGGATTGTCTCAATCTCATTATGTCGAGAGCATGCTAAAGAAGTATGGCTACTACGACCTGTCAGAACTGTCAGTGTTATATGATTATAACAAGAAGCTTTGACCAAACACTAGAAGACCAGTAGAACAGCTGAGGTACTTAAAGATCATTGGGAGTCTTATGTACGCGATGAGCTGCACAAGGCTAGATATAGCATTCGCTGTAGGAATGCTTAGTAGGATCACAAGTAATCCTGGAAAGCTTCATTAGGATGCTGCCCAGAGATTGATGAGATACTTAAAAAGAACTACAGATCTGGGTCTATTCTACACTGGATATCCGGGTGTAATCGAAGGCTATTCAGATGCGAGCTGGTGTTCAGAACCAGATGAGTGCAGATCTATTAGAGGATTTGTCTTCACCATGGGTGGAGCTACCGTCTCGTGGAAGTCTAAGAAGCAGACCATGATTGCACAGTCATCGATGGAATCTGAATTTTTCGCACTCTGTGTTGTAGGAGATAAAACTGAGTGGCTCAGTTGTATTCTTCGAGACCTTCCATTAACAAAATTGCAAGGTGCAATTACTATCTATTGTGATAATCAGGCGGCGAGTGCTATGGCAGCAAACTCGATGTTTAATGAAAAGAAGCGGATCATTCGTCTGAAGCATGGCTATTTGAGAGAGCTCATTTGTCAAGGAGTCATCTCTGTGATTGACGTCCGATCTTCAGAGAATGTAGCTGATCCTTTGACTAAGGGTCTGAAAAAAGACATAGTCGAAAGGACGCCTGCTGGAATGGATCTTAAAGTTTTGTAAGTCTTACAAATACTTACCATGTTTATTAAATTATTAGTTCAAAGCTTATGCTACTAATAATAAAATAATTGGTTCAAAAGTCAAGTAAGATTTGTAAAGTTGGTAGTCTTACAAATACTTACCATTTACATTAAGTTATTACTTCAAAGCTTATGCTACTAATGACAAGATAAATGGTTCAAAAGTCAAGTAATATTTACAAGTGAAAGGTTCAAATTTTCTTGGATTAGTCGGTGTCTAAGGCAAGATTTGGAGGTTACGTAACGCGCTCCGTAAGGAACGAGATACTTAATTGATCTTTGATCAACCTCTAATACTATCCTTATCTGGCTGAACTACCCGAGTAAAACTTTGATCATTTTACCTAGAATCCTATCATGTAAAAGGGATGGCTGTTAAGTCTTAATGGGTCCAAAGTATTTCGGATGTGGGGTGTTAGATAGGAAACACACCTAAAGGACTCACCTAGAATCTTATCATGAGAGAGGGTGGCTCTTAAGCCTTAATGAGTTCAAAGCATTTCGGATGCGGGATGTTCGATAGGAAACATGCCTAAAGAACTCACCTATGCATGGGTGGAGATTTGGCCGTCTCCTATGATGTCTTGTGGAAAGATACCTAGAGCTCTAACAGAAACCAGAACATGCACAGGGCCATAAATGTGCAAAAGCAAAGGCAAAGGCAAAGGCAAAGACAAAGGCAAGTGTGGTTCAAAGTGAAAACTATCACAGATAAGTTTGATCTTGTGTGATCGCTGGATTTTTAGACATGTGCTAGTTCAAGTCTCTGCGACACCATGCACTTATCTTTTATTCAGTTGGTCTAAAGGAGATTCGAGTCTTTGCGACATCTTCATTATGCACAACGATTGAAACGTCGGCACTGTTACACGACACTAGTTTAAAAAACTTATGGGAGATTGTTGGATATTAATTTTTTAATCAAAAAAACCACACATGAGCTGCTACCTAAAATTAGGCTGCTAAATTTTTGTTGAAATTAACATAAAGTGGTAGGCCCCACCACAAGAAAATTAAGACGTAGGCCCCACATGTATAGTAAAATATATTATTTTATTAGTGCATAGTATTTTTTCAAACGCGATAAATAGACCTCAAATCCTTAAAGAAAATTCATTCAAAAAATAACAATCAATATATACAGATATAGATTGTAAAATAGCTGGTGCTTATAGGAATTTTGCCTGATAGATCGAGGAGATCTTTTGCTTGATAGATCGAGGAGATCTTTGCCTTATAGATCGAGGAGATCTTGATAGTACTGGGTTGGTGTACACCAGAGTACTGGACTGTTATTTCTAGAAGCAATTTGGCCTTGGGATCCTTGCACCGGAGTAGGTCAAATAATGCTTTAAGCATAGCGTTTTACAAACACACAACAGCTGAGTTAAAAATTTTTAAATTACTACATTTCAGTTTTCTGTTCAGTTTTTATTGTTATATATTTGTATTATTTCAATTTTAACCATAGACGCCAACAAGAAGAAGGATTTCAGGGGGCAGATCGGCCTAAACCATGGCCCCAAACCAGGCAGCCAAGGTGCTCAGGGCGCTGGTTCTGGTCTGCCTGGCAGGTAGTGACGATGGGGGAGATCGGAGCGTGGTGGGGAGGCAGTAGAAAGGGCCAGAGAGGAGAGGATGAGAGTGGCGGAGATGGCCTGGTCGGAAAGAGGGTGGGTAGCAGCTGCTCTAAGGTTTTTTTTTAACCTATGCATTATGATACCATGTTAGGAGAGAGAAGCTTAACCATTGATTAGAGAGGGATTATATATATAGAGAGTTTGTAACATCCACACTACATAGATATCCAATAACCCACATAAGACCCACATAACTCATGACATCTAACAGCAATTATAAGTTTGTTCTTGGTGTAAGGGGTTCCATTATTTTCTCTCCATAAGCAAGTGTTTTGTCCTTGTATTTATTTCTTACTGAAGTTTTACATGTACAGGTGTCAAATTATTTAGAAGAAAAAAGTGTGAAGCCATAATCCTAAACTTTTTTTAGTATTCCCTGTTATTTCGTGCACCTCGTCAATGTACAATTTCATTTTACTAGTTAAGATCATTATGTATAGAAGTCAGAATATAAACTGCCTCATTTTGCTAGTCTCGCATGAAAAACTATAGAATTAGTCATTGTAACATAGCTTTTCCTATTAAATGTAAACGAAAGGACTATAATCAGCACACATACCTCTCCAAAAGCAGTATTGTATCCCTTCAGTAGTAAGCCCTGCCAGTTTCGACAATTTAACATGCTATCAGTATATATCGTTTAAACGTTACAGTTTAATTACCATACGACACAAATTTGATCATTCATTATCTTAATACCTTTAAATATTGATGATACAGAGGTTCCAAAATAAACAGTTCTCCTTGGTAGATTCCATATCCAGTCCCTAGGAACTTCAATTGGATTCCGACTAGATTCATGATCTGCAAAGACCTTCAATAAAGAAATATCTAGTTAAGTTATACGCACACCAACTTTTGAATCATTAATAGTGTTATTTACTGTAGAAAAGCAGTTGCAATATTCAATTCCATCATAAAAACAACATAGTTTACCTCATTCACTTGGAAGTATGTGCCATTGAGTGGAAAACTTCCTCTATTTGCTGTCCGACACGGTATCTATTCAAGAAGATATAATAATTAAATAACAAATCTTGAATTGGTCTTTCTGTGTCTACAGGAATATGAAGTTTAAGGTTTTTTATATTAATCCCTTAAATCTTCATATTGTTAACTTCGCCCCTCAAATCATTGTAATTGTTATTTGGTCGCCCATAGTTATTTTGAAATAAGTACCTCAAATCATTGAGATTGCTATTAGGTGCCTCAATTCTCATAGGTTACTTCAAATTAATCCCTCTAGTTGCTACTTCTACGGTTCTACTCTTGATTGGAGGGACAAATTCCAAAAGGGCTTTTTTCGATATATGCCCCTCAAATTATAGGTATTTTTAAATTTATCGCCCATATCATTATAATTCTAAATTTACCCCTCAAATTGTAACTATCCATCATTTACCCTTTACTAACTTTTAAAATATTCTGTTGGAAATATTCTGCTAAAAAAATTAAACTTTTAAAAATGGCATTTCTATCCTTAATAAAATCAATTAAAACTACAACACAATTAAAATATTTGAAAGCCACTCCGTCGCCAGGTCTTCCCTCGTTTGATATCCATCACAGCCCAGAAGAACGATCGGCTGACTATCACCCGACTGATTGGCCAAGAATTTGTTCAGGTCGCAGAGAGCACATGCTTTGTACAATATTTCTATGGTAAACTCTAGCACATCCAAGCACTGTATAATCTTAGTGCTTTCTCTCTACAAGCCTCTCTCAACCTTTGAGCAATGAACCATCATGATGTAAAAGATTCATATCACTTCTTGTCAAATTATTATAATCAATTTGATGAAGGTTGGATCCTGAGGAAGTGTATCCTTAGTATCCAACAGTGTTATCGACCATTTGAGGTCTTGATTCACTTTCTATTTGCCTTCTATGTGTCATCCTTATTCACAGCGATGCCAAGGCCACAAACACGTTCGCCGGTAAAACTCAAGTAAACTATTCACACCACCGTACACCATAGCTTCTCTCTGCCTACTCCATCATCACTTTCGTTGGTACAGTAGAAGGCGGCAAATAAGTCGGATAAGGTGATCAATTAAACCACCAACAATGAGAAAGCTATAGACTTGACGAGCAGGTGTTCTATTTAGATTGGGACTTTGACGAGTAAAACGGCGTGTTCAAGGGAATATTGAGAAGATCAAGAGTAGGGTAAACAACAAACAGTGAAGGAGATTCTCCCCAGTTAATGTCAATTTATTAGGGGTATATCAGGTAAATTTATAGGCAACCACGGTTAAAATTTTAACATCATTTAGATTAGGGCAAGTTTAAAAGAAGAAAACAATTTGAACAGTAAATTTAAAGTTACAAAGATTTGTAGGGTAAATTTAAAAATATTTATAGTTTGAGGAGCATATATCAATAAAAACCCATTTCAAAATAACTAGAACATTGGGGGGACCTACTAGAATTTTTAACGTTTCAGGGACTAATTTCAAAATAACTTAAGAATTATGGGGACCTAATAGCAATTTCAATGATTCGGGAGATATTTTAATGAAAGATTTAATGGGCTAATATTGAAAAACAAAAAACTTTAATGATGAATCACTATTAAAAGTTTCATATTAACGTTGGTTATAGATGAACATAGCAAGTTTTATGAATTACCAAAAGTGTCCCTCTGACCATCTGCGCTTGCGCTTCTCGTATACTATTGCAACTAAAGCATGTATCCTTGAAACACAATTTACCGGTGTCTTGGGTATTGCAGCATGCCGTTGGGGGCTCAATGGATTGAGCAGTTTCACCTATTACAGCACAGTTTTAGACTTTCGGTACATAACTAATGAAGTTAGAACTTCGAAGAAAATATGCCTTGGGTTTCTGGCTACAAGCAAAATGTGCTTGCCTGGAGTCCATATAGCTAGAAGATACGGACATGGGTCATCTGCCTCCCTTTTGTCCAACTGTTATTGTTTAAAGAGAAGACAAATGAGTTGGGTTCTAAAATAATGAAAATTTTGAAAAAATAAGCTGCTAAGAGAAAATGGCTTACTCCTTCCAAGAGACGATGTGAATCTGGAAGTTCATATCTGCAAGGTCCGGAAAAAAAAATTGTCATCCTTTTAAATAATTCTAAGGGTAAACTTCACAAAACCCCCCTGAATCTATTTGCAGATAGCCCCGAACTTTTTGGGGTATCTGAAAAAGTTGTTGGGAATAAATGACATTTCCAAACTTTTGGGGGTTTATCTACAAAATGGGCCAAACTTCTTGGGAGTTTTGTGAATTTTATCCTAATTGTAAAATTGCTTGCTTCACTTATAAGAAACAAGGATAATAGTGATATAACATACACTTGGTGTTCTGTACGCAACCGATTGACATTCTTCAGCTTAGGCACGGGGATAGACGCAGCTTCCGGAGTTAAAGCAACTAAAGCTTTTGACATATCACCATCTTGCACATAGCTCTGCAAATTCTGACTGAACTCCTCCATGTTAAGCTTAAATCCCGGGATTTCATCGGGGTCATTATAAAAAGCATCTTCGATATCAATTTCTAATGCTTTAATACACTCAGGTTCAGGAGTTGCAGGTTCCTCAATGATAGGTTCACAATTTCTGGGTACAATTTGCTCCCGCAAGTGAGTGCTTGATTCATGTTGAGGTAGGGGTAATGGCCTGGGCACTGGGCCATGGCTTCTCTCTGAAGAAAAAGGAGTTGTTGAGCTCACTAAACGTTTCTCCTCCGGTCCTGGAAGAGCAAGCCTCGCACTGCAAGATAAAATCAACATACTAACTTCCGTTTCATAATAAGTAACGGGGACATATATAAAGTTTTAAATTAGATTACATATCTGAAGCTTATCACAAACCTAGCAAATGCACTTGCAAAGTGTCTGCACTCTCCTCTCATTGGGCAGGCATTGCAATTTGGTTTGCTCTTTGTACAGAAAACCTACATGAGAACTCATAGAAACGGCTTTATTATTCATGTCAATTGATTCGCCAGTTACAAATGTCACTGGTTAAAGCATTACCTTGCCAAAAGTAATTAACTGATAGTGCAGCTCATATCTGGAAAACAGATATATGAATAGAATTAGTTCATTAATGCATTGAGTTAATCAATATACTAAAGTAAGATCTTTGTAACAGGGTGATAGAGTATACAATGTCCTCTGGTCAAGCTTACACAGCCGAGGCCACAGGTACTTTTGAATCGTCTCCAATATAGGGTACCTATGTAGAGGAACAACAAGTAAGTATAACTTTACAGGTAAATTTCATATAATCCCCCATAAAGTTTGGCCACTTTGAGATAACCCCACTATAAACTTGACAAATGTCATTTAATCCCCTAACCTTTGAGGCTTGTCACAAAAAACTCCCAAATGATTGCAAGTTTTTCAACATACTGCCTAATGGCACAAAGGGGGTTTTCTGAAACTTCGTCAAAAGGTCATGGTGGTTCTCTGAAAATAATGTCGAAAACTTGGGACTTTTTCAAAATAATGTTGAAAGTTGGGGAAATGTTGAAAAAATTTAAGGGTTACACACTACTAAGAGGGCTATGTTGGAAAAAATGGGGGTCGCACAGTTAGCGGGTACATTGAAAGTTTTACTATCTCCTGTAGGTATGGTGCTTGCTAAAAATGAAAGTGCAATAAATATCAAGGTGCTTACATTTCTAAAAGATGCAACTGAAGGGACTCAGGCAGGGGTTGAAGTGGGACCCATCCCAGCCTTACGGCAATCCGACCAACATTTGTGTCAACCTTGTAGATGACAAAAAATAGAAGAAAACTAAAGGTAAAAATTAAGCATGTGTAACAACCTGTAAAGTAATTCTTTAAGAAAGAAACTTACAGGAAAAGCTAGATGGTGAAGTGTCAAAAGCCGAACACATTCAACACTTTTGAGCCCCAGGCCCCTTATGCTAAGAAGGTAGTCCCTGAAAGCACCACAAGAAATTATAGTCGTACAGCTTACACGTCAAAAATAAAAGTATAATATAATCTCGGAAAAGCAACATAGCCCTTTCAGGTATTGATGGTATCACAAATAAACCACTACATGATTTATATTATAGATCTTACTTGGCTTTGTCTGGGGGAATGTCCCTTAACCATTCGAGATCTATGCTTCCATGATCTCTGACCAGACGATTGAGGAAGTCCTGCAATAAAAAATCACAATTAGATTGACCGCTTTTATGAAGATAAATCAACTATAAGTTTATTTTGCATATTGATTTACAGCTAGATACATTAGCTATATCTATCGATGTGTTTTTGACTTACTACATACTTGAACTATGCGCAGTGGTTGCAATTACAAAGATAATGTGAGAGTTTTTTTTTAATATAATATGAACTGAATGTCTTCAGAAAAACACGGTTTTGTAGTTCACCTTGATTCGCTCTGCAAGCAAATTATTCATTCCTCTTTCTCGAATTGTATTAGATATTTCATTCACATTTGCATTCCTTAGTGCCTCGTAGTCCAGTGAATCCATTGCATCACTGTTCCGTTCTTTCTTGGCACCATTTCCATATACCTGCTTTCTAAGACAATCCCAATCATAGGTTTTCTTCTCAGTCTCAGCTTTTGCATTCTTCTCCTTTGATATTTTGTTCTGTGTTTTAGATGAAACCTTATGGGATCTTAAATTTGATCCCTCTGCACCTTCAGAAACAAAACCATGCCTTTGATTCGTATTGTGTGAATTTGAACTAGTCTGAGTTTCTGCTAACTTTTCTCTTTTTTTTAGCATAACTCCACTACCATCTTGTTGATTTAAACATATATCAGAAACATTTTTATTATAAGACACCCCATTTTGAAAGCAAGAATGGCCCTCATTTTGAAGAGGCCTCAATGGCTGAGCAGGATCCTTGCTTATTCCTCCAAATGAATTAGCACAAGGTGCAATAGTATCAATCAACGGCTGATTCTGATTCATAGAATTGATTGAACTTCCTATGCCTGAAGCATAATGCCTACCCATTAATTCATTTATATTCCTCTCGTTTAGTTCAAATGCAGTCGGAGGTAAATAAGACATGTTATTTTCATTTATGGCCTCAGATTTATCCATTCCCACAAACCTGGAGGTTGAAAATTTCTGAAATTCTGGATGGATATGGGAAAAAGGTGTATCAATGGATGGGCATGAACCATTAAGATCAATAGGTCCATTTGGGGCTGATAGACTCTTGTCCATCCTAAGAGCTATGGACCAATTAATCATACTGTCATCTCCCCCCAATAACATGCTTCCATTTCCAGTATCTTTCAGGTCATTCAATACTCCTTCATCTGCCATTTCAAGAAGCTCTCTGAATGAACCAAAACCATGGTCTCTACCTCCAGTTAGCAACTCAGCAGCTTCAAAATTCAATGGTGGACTCAGTTTGCTTTGATCGGTTGTTTTAACTGGAGACACTGAAGAATTTTCAGATGAAGCTACAGAGTTCTGTGATGAAACAACATCCTCCAGTGATTTTCTATTGTTGCCTTCTACTGCACTTGTACAACTACTGATGGTTGCGGAAGAACCTAAACTGCTTTCAAGTGATTCATTACTGTTGGCAGTTTCGTTATTCTGTTTTTGCTTAGATCCATTGATCCCTCTTTGATCGCATATTTCTGGCTCTGTTGCTTCCCCTTGATGTCTGATAGTGTCATCGACAAACATAGGTCTGCTTACTGTCCCATTTAATTGAGGAGGAAATCTTGCAGCAAGGCACATGAATGCAGAGCTGTCAAAATCAAAGAGTGAAAATGATGAGTAACGATGAAACTCCTACCTTCTGTCCTCTATTGCAATCTTATTTTTTACTTGAAGTTATTGGAAGGTCTCATTTGAGATTCAGTATAAAAAGTGGGTTTCACCTTGAAAGATGGTCTGAAACATTCTGTGTAAGAAAGACGCCAATGACCGAATCTACAACCGATCCCTTCCACCGAGAGAAGCGCCTATCACCTAAAAAAAAGGAAAGAATAATTGAGAGAAGTGTTTGTTGAGAATTAAATCTAATTGGCAGCAAGAATACATAATTATAGTACGCTAGAAATGTTTTCAATTACAGATCCATACTGGAATCCCTTAATTTAGAAGTTCTGCATAAAACATGCATCAACAAATGGACATGTATGCATTTACATACTTCCCACCAAATAAGTCAGAAGCTTATTAACTCCTTAAACTTTGTTAAATTGGTTCAGTGATTTTCAGTTTAACATATCAATTGCTACAAAGATAGCACATCACATAGAACCATAAGATATTACAATAAACCGAGGTTCATATTTGTATTTTTGTTATAGCACGAGAAAGAGCGCCAGATAGTAGCCCTCTCAAATATAAAACATAACTGGTTAAAACTCTTCTGATTAATAAAAGTTAACTGCACATAAAATCCTTTAGTATAATCACCACAATTGTTCTGCCGAAAAATTATATACTCTGCTCATCCAATTAGACTAATCTAATAATAATTGTATGCACATTTGCTTTCGCAAAACAGGAAGCTAAAAGAGGAAAATGAAGTAATCAAGAAAACAAAAAAATTGCAACTCCATATAATTCATTTCTACTTTTATACACGACCTTGCAGTAAAAGCACAGTAATTTAAAATCCAATGAACGCACGCCAGAAGCTTTAATTTGTTAGTTACAGTTCAAGTCAATTTTTTGCTTATTTTAGTTGTGTTTTACCAAATTCCAAGAGAAGCATTGTGCTTCACAGTGAGAAGTGAAACAGTTTGGATTTGCAACAACACTGAAGAAGAGAAAGTTAGAGTTATTCCAGTCTCAAGAGCTGATCATGTTTTAAAGCGATAAGTTATATCAATCCATAGTATTCTTTACTTAAAAATCAAGAGCTGCATCAAGAAATCTAGAAGAAGAAAAAAACAAATATACTACCTTGGATCAAATGCATCCGAGCAATGAATGAGTCAGCACGACCACGAAAAACTCGTCTTTCTTCCTCCCACCATTTCTCCTTTTCCATATCTGTTCCATTTTCACCTTCATTGCTTTCCTTTCCCATCAAAAGTTTCCACACTCTATCTGACTCGGGATCCAAATCAACCTTTGGCCTAGGTTTCCTCTTTTTTATAAGATCAATTGGACCCTCAAATAAAACCATTGTGCCGCTTCCACCAACATAAGGAACTATTGCACTTTGTTGTTGAATTGAAACAATTTCATGGGCACCATTTATGTCCATATCCCTTAGTTTTTGAACAATTTCCTCTATTGGGTCCCTGTACGATACAATTTGGTTCGCATTTTTGGTCAACAAATTAACATCAGGATCTTGTTCCTTATTCTTCTGCCTTCTACCTCTTGGTTTCTTTTGCTTTGTGATAAGGAGGTCAACACGAGCTCTCGGTCCATAAGTCCCATTTTCGTGACTATTATTGCATGCCAGTGTCTTTTCAGGAGTTGGGGGTTGGATGCTGTTTATTTTATCAAGACCGAATTGCTTCATAGGAGTTAAGATTGGTCTGTCAATTTGAACTTCTCTGTAACTTTTCTCCCTCTCATTTTCAGCAATCTCCAACATGTGCTTTTGAGATAGGATTTGCTCAAGGGGCATCCTCCTTTGTGCATATGGGATGAAAATATGACTTGTATTTTGCATCTTCTGTGTAGCTTTCCAACCGCTAGGAGTTAAAGCTGACATAGAAGAAGAATAAGGTGTGATTCCTCTCTGACCATTCTCTACTTTCCTTCTCTTATGAATATCACGAAAACATGGATCAATACTGCTACCATAATTCTCCTGGGTTAAACTCATATTTGCTCCAACCTGAACTTTATGGACAATATTAGACATTGAGTTTGTATTTGAAGCAACCTGGTTTTGACCATCTTGTCCATGTCTCTGACCATCTTGTCCATGTCTCTCCCAGTTGCCTTCTCTTCTTGCAGACTGCTGATTTGAGTTCATGTTACTTCTCATCCTCTCAAAATCAACTTGCCATTTCAATTTCAACATTTCTTGCCTCGAAGACTCAAGAGCCTGATTTAGGATTTGGGGGGTTCTTAAATTCTCGTTTGTGAATCGGCTTGTTGAATTGTTAAATCCCCCAATTGGCCTCTCCAAAATCACTGAGCCTTGCCCTTGAGAACAATGCACAGCTGATGCAGTTTGCGACCTAACAACAGTTTGTGATACATTCTGTGCTTCTTGACCTTGAGTTTCTAATACATTATGTCTGAATGCCATCGACCCTGATCCTGCTAATGGATCTACAGCTTGAGTATCTTCGGAATTAAAATTCAAACTACGCCTAACGGTCTTATTCCTATTTCTATTATCATCATTAACAATTTGCCCTGGTGCACTTTTGGGAGCCTCTTGTGCATTTGTGGCATTTTCTTGTGGACTTCCATCTTTCTTCTTTCTCACATATTTCCTCTTGCCTGCAGCATTTTCTGCTGTCATTGGAGGCTTAGGAGTTGCTGGCTTCTTTGGTGTTCTTGCCGGCTTCCCTTCTCTAATCACCTTCGGAGTATACTTCTTTCTTCTAGTTTTTGGCGGAGGTGTCTTATTCAAGTCTATGCCTTGATTATCTCCCTCAGCTTGCTGTACAATGACTTCTTCAGCTGAATTTAGTACCATGTTTCTCTCACCTTGGTTAAAAACACATTGTTCCTGCTGCACTTTCCCACACTCATTCCACAAAAGATCCTGATAGCTTGCTGTTGGTTCATCAACAGAATCCAAATCAATAATTTCACGAGGCTTTTCAGACTTTTTTCTTAAAAGATCATGGAAGCTAGTTGGTTCATCAATCGGATCCAAATCGATGATTTCACAAGGAAGATGATCTTGAATCCTCTGCCTCTGGTTCTTCTCCATTGTTGCTGGGGTTGCCGGAGAGGCCATTTGCTCACTAAAAACTCTACTCGCATTGTTATACTCAGGCAATGAGTTGAGATTTGGCGAGAAAGGAAATGGAGCTCTATCTATAAATCACACCCAAAACAAAAACAAACAATACATCAACTAATAGAAAAGGATCCCCAAACTAACTGATCTACGGTAATTGAATATACCCCCTGTACTATTCGCCAAATAAAGCTTACTGACCCTGCAGTTCTATTTTGAGTGAAAATCTATTGTTGCACATAGACCATGTGAAAAGGATCAAAAAAAATTCACTCAGGAGGTCTCTGTACATCAGGGATAGTATCTTCAGTTAGGCAATAGTACAGGGGTCTATGCCCATTTGACCCTTATATTTACCAATGACATGTTTGAAGAGTACTCACACCAAGGTTTTGGTGATAACCGCGGATGGACCCATATACTATCGCCAAATTGAACTTACTATCCCTACGGTTCTATTGTTGCGTGTAGAATCCCTGAAAGAGTTGTATTGTTGCACATATACCGCCTAAGTGAAAACCTATTGGTTGAGGTAGACCCCTGAAATGGGTCAAAAAAAATCACTCAGTGTGTCTATCTGCAACAATAAAACTACAGGGCTACTAAGTTCAATCAGGTCATAGGACAGGAACTCTATCCGCCATTAACCCAATTAAATCTATCAATAACATGATCAAAGAGTACTCACACTGAGATTTCGGTGATAACGGCGGCAATCCCCGGCTACTGCCGGACTCCCAGTTCGCTGGCGATGAGATCTTACCATTAAAAAAAAACCGATTCCAATTCAAGATCTCAGCATTCATCCCCTGTTTCCGGCCAATACCACCACCATTGATCGCCGGAGAATTTAAAGCCAAATGTGTCATACAGGGCATCTCAGCCTCATTAGAAAGCCCAAAAGGGATGGGCTTGGCTGGGGTTGCTGGAATCCATTGACCCCCAAATTCCTTCGGAAGCTCCATCCCAAAGATTTCAACAAAACCCAGAAACCCTAAGAAAAAATTTGGGATTTTTTTATCTGGGTTGTCATCTAAGACCCATTATTCCCAATAGAAATTGATTGATGCCTCTCTCTGAACATAGAAAAAACACCCAAAAAAGGGATTTTTAACAGCTAAAATCACTTAAAAAAACTTGGAGATCTCTCACACCCAGAATCCAGCAACAGAATTAAAAGCGCATGAACCAAAAGGAAAATACATCGTGAATTCTGGCACTTTTGGAAACAAGATTAGAGCACTTAATTAATAAATTCACTGAACCTGGCCATCAATTTAAGAAACAAAAAAGGGGGAAACAGTCACCTGGATCTTTCACAGATCGACCAAATCGAGACCAAATTCACTGATTTTGGACAGAATTGGAGAGGAAATTGCAAAGGAAAGGTGGGTTATTTCTGTGCATAACAGAAACCATTAATGCTGCAATTGAAGAGAGAGAGAGAGAGAGAGAGATGGACTTCCTTTTTGTTTTGAGAGAGATATAGAGAGGACAAAGGAAGATGCTGAAGATGAAGACTTTGTTGTTGTCTAGGGGGGAGATTGTTTGCATGCAACTGTAACTGCAATGCTACTCGTAGTTGCATGCAACTGCAGTTATTAATGGTTGCTTTTAGTTGGTGTAATTGTTTGGTTCAATTTTAAAATTCGGTTACAGTTTCTCGATATAGTAATTTTAAAATTTTTTAAAAGCTTTTTACATATTGATCCGTCATATTTTACATATTTTAATTGAGACCTTTAGATTGATTTTTTTTAAATAGCCCTTTAACTTCAGTTTGTTTTTATATTAACTTATGTTGTCTGCTGTTGTTTAGATTAGGAGACTATTTTACTTGGCATTATTTTTTCTCATGGATTTTCGATTATATCATTGTATGTGTTTCTAAAACCTATTCTATATCACAAAAATCTTTAAAATTCAAGTCTAGTACTTAATTTCTTCTTTCTTCTCGAAAATCTATTTTTCATTTCTTAGCAATCGGAATGAGAGATAAGAGAGGGAGGGATTTTGGAGAGAGCAAGTGAGCAACTACATGAGAGCAAAACATATATAATGATCAAGATGGAGATTAAATAAAAAATTAGCAGCCCTAATTTGAAATAATTAATACTATTAGAATATTCTATATCAGTTTTAACGAATTGGGAGAAAAATAAAAACTTTTATAATTAAAAAAAGCGTTTATTATAATGGGTAAACAAGTAACTTTTATAATTAAAAAGCTATTATAACCGCCAATGAAGCTTTTTAAGTTTATTTGCACAAAATGAGAATTTTTCTTTTTTTTTTTTAACAATGACAACTGAGAAGTAACGTGAGAAATTGGAGTTTTTGTGGGGACACATGGCGACCGAGAAAATGGAGTCACGTGCACGTAACGATGAGAATGGAGATGGCGTTACTTACCTAGCGTTTCACGCGCGCGCACACGACGGCCGTCACGTGCGTAGATAATGCCCGGTAGCACCCCCACCATTAACCATGTATTTTAACGGGCAGGTAACTGGTAACATTTAGGGTAATGTTTTGATACTATAGTGATTTTTGGTGGTGTTTTCAAAACATCATGGTGTTTTTCTTCAAAAGTATTTTCAAAATATCATGATAAGTGTTTTCGATTAACAATATTTTAATCTTTTATAACATTAATATTAAACATACTATAAATATATTAAATATTAATTATAATACAATCTATTTTAATTAATATATTATAATAATATATAATTAATATTATAATATTATATGTAACTAATAGATTACAATGCTATATACTGTACATATTTGTAATATATATTATATTTTACTACTTTAATAAAATTTTCAAATAGTAACATGTTTAATTATTTTTTATATAAATATGTATATTGTTATTAATATTAATAATATATAAACTTTTATTAATAATAATGTATTTAAATTTTCTTTTTATAATACAATATATCATTATTATACTATGATATTGTTATTATTATTATTATTATATTGATATTTTTATAGGATATGTAATTTATCATTAATAAGTTACTTACTTTATAACTTATAATTATGTTTCCATTATATAATATAATATTATTTATTATATAATATATTCAATAAATTGAATATATTAATATTTAATCTTATGTTCTTAGAGGAGTATTATTTTATTATTAAATATTAATTACATAACATGTCAAAGTTTTTAAATATATTATATAATATATTATTCAAACATTAATGATATATTTTATTAATCAAATAATATAATAGAATATTTTTTGTTAAATAATTCAATATTATATCATTACTATAGGATTATTTATTATAATTTACTAATATATATGTGTGTGTGTGTATTATATCATTACTATAGGATTCTTTATTAATAATAAACTATTATATATTGTTTTATCAATATATTTTGTTTTATTAAAATAAAATATATATTGTTAATATAATGTCTAATATAGTATATTAATAATATAGTCAATATAATGTATTCATTACATAATTTAATATAATATTAAATTATATTATTTAATATATCACATTATAACATTATTTTCCAAATATATCAATTCTATATTTAATATGATTAATTAATAATTATTATAATATTGTAATTAATATAATATTATAAATATATTTTAAATATTGTTATACATATTATATTAATAGTTAAATAAAGTAAATTAAATAGTATTGATAAAAATATTAATAATAATATATAAATATATTATATTTGTTATATAATATAATATTAAATTAAATTACTTATATGACTATTTTCCTAACCATATCAACGTACTACTTTTAATACAATTCATGTACATAATACTATATTCATTATAATTACATACTTTATATTGTTAATTATATACAATAGTAAATAATCATAAATTAATCGTAATTAACTTTAATAATAATATGATGTAATCTATGTACTATTGGTATGAAACATAGTGAATTGAATATGGTCTGACCGGAAGACAGCTATACAATATCTAGTATAATAATATAATATTTTAAATAATTTAATTTAATTTCATATTATATTATATTTTGTAACAAATATAATATATTTCTATGTTATTATTATATTTTTATTAATAATATTTAATTTATTATTATTTACTATTTGTTGATGTCTGAGATCACACAGTCGATGAGAGCTTTCCGTTGATGGATGTAGTTCAGATCTTCGCGCTGACAACCGAAGAGGGAGAGGATGGGAGATGGAGCCGATTCCTCCTCCGACTTTATGCCCGATCCTTGGACTGGAATTCCTGATTCTTCTGCATAAACAAGAAGAATGAACCCATAAGAGGGCGGGGCTTATTTCCCTCGTGGTACCTCCGACGATCAAGTCAACTGGTGAGCTTGAGTGTGGTTTGAGGGAGAGTCCTGGGACCATTGAAGTCCTTATAAGGGGGTACTCTTTTAGAGTCATTAGTTCTCTTTTTAGTAAAAGTAGATCAAGAGGGAGAAATGATCTCCATAGTTTAATGAAGAAGAAGAAGAAGAACCTCCTGAAGAAGTCCCCCGTCCCTCTCTTTTTTTTACCTTCCTTCCCTCTTTTTATAGCTCATCGACTCTGAGATGTTGACCATTGGCTCTGACTATGCACAGGAGGGCGGTTGCGGGGTGAGCAGACAGGCTGCTGAGTCATCCTCCGCTTTACAGGTGTCGGCTAGTGTAGTGACGGGAAGGGAAGTCATTCGAGCATAGGAGAGACTGTCTCCTTAAGATCTCGGATTTGACAGATGAGGCATTACGGAAGATAGACCGGCTGCTTAGTCATCCTCCGCTTTACAGATGTCGACTGGCGACTGGGAGGAAAGTCATTCGGGCATAAGAGAGAATGTCTTAGTACTCTCTGGAAAGTGACTTGTGAGTAGAGTAAACTGTTTACACACGAGATTTGTCAGAGTTGAGATCTTAATAGGACCGATCAATATTGTAATGTCGATTGATGTATATCTGAAGGGAGCTTTGTTGGATCTTATCCCCTCAGTAGAGATGGGTTGGGTTTTGAATCGTCTCTATGATTTGCCGACCAGACAGTCTAGCGAGCTTCTGGTCAAATAGACTACCGAGTAGATGGTCGAGCCGACTATTTGAGGAGTCGTCTCGATCATGGGGCAGGTGGACTCTTGAGGAGTCGTCTCAATCATGAAGGGTCGACTGATCCCACACTTTGTGTCGATAAATATTGCTCGACTGGTCGATTGATTTGTTCTTGGCTGGGTTTTGAGCCGCTAAGCTGGTTTGGACCATAGCTCTTTTGGGCCTATGAAGATATAGCTTCTCGATATTTTTATCTTTAGATGGTGAATTACCATAACAGATGGTCCTTTTCACTCAGAGCTGACTTTAGTCGGGTCTGAGTGAAATAGATGAGAGCTTTCGATCAGCATAAACTCGCTCAAGGCGTTTGAGGGTTTTTAGCCAGTTGATCGTAGCTGAAGACATGGTGTAGGACTTTCTGCTGAAGATGTGGTGTAGGACATTCTGTCCAACCATTATCTCTTATGAACTGATATCTTGAATCACTTTTTTAGAGGAGACGAAGCATCGTGGGCAGAACGAGTGGCTCTTCATTGTCGATTGATTGGTGTGGAATAATGTGCACGAGCGATGGTTGGCATTTCGAGCAATCCATTTCAGATTCTCAAAGTGGATCTTCTTGGTTGCTTTAAGATTGTGCCTCTCTAGTTCTTATGCATGCTTCTTTGGAGGCTTATAAATATCCTAAGGGCTGAGAGGATTTTCTCACAGATCTTTCATCTTCAAAATCGTCGAACTTTGTAAAGAAGGAGCTTTTCCATAGCTTCTCCAGCTCCCACTTCTAGCCATCGTGAAGAAAAGCTTGTCGTACTTTGGCGTCTGTGTTCAATAGTCCTTAGGGATCAGTTGAAATGGGCGTGCAGGAGGTTCGAGATTCCTCGAGCTGTAACGCTTGAGGAGTTCAAGCTGACGAAGCTCGTATACAATCATGGCGAGGGGTGAGTGCCATTGTACTTAGCACATCTGGAGCAGGGTCTGCGGCTGCCTCTTCATCCCTTTTTCTGGGGAGTACATGCAGCTCTAGGGGTTTCCCCATGCATTTTTATCCAAATGCGGTAGGAGCTTTGGTGGCCTTCATGGTCGTCTGCTACAGAGTTGGGGTACGGCCCAACATGAAAGTGTTGGGTCATTTGTTGAGTGTGGGATCGACTGAAGGGCACCCGCACTATTTTTATCATATTGATGATAATTTCAATCTCTCCCTGGATCTTCTTGAATTGGAGGAGGATTGGAGGGAGCATTTTGTGCGGGCTTATGGAGCTGGCGACATCTTTGCATGCTCGACCTGGCCAGAGGCAAACATAGAGGCCCTAAGGCCAGTTGCTCTTAGCGGTCTGGAGAAGGAAGTCCTGGAGAAGATCTGTTCTTAGGCCAGACCTTTGGACGTAGAGGACTTGGTGGAGGATATGTCCATGATCTTGTCTTCCACTGGCTTCGTGGTTAGGGTCTCCTATTCCTCCTTCAATGGAAGTA